CCAAGTCCTTTTTGGCCCATATCCGGATCTAACAAATGGAAGAATCTGGAATGGTGAAAAATATATTACTTCAAGGGCTTTCCTGCAATTAAGTGAGAGACTTTTCTATTAGGTTTAGAAGACTTCTTATTTTCATTCTCTTGTGCGCAGCAAGTTCCTTCTTTTTCATATTCTCTCTGTAAATTAATCTCTAATTAGATAGGAGAGTTGAGTGATGAACTCTTGTGAGTTCATGGGAGTTGTGGAATGATTGTGTGATTTTTTGTTGTTTTGTAGCCGTGTACTCGATCCTCTACCTATTTTGGGTAGTTTCTAGTGGATTTGAGTTTATTCCTAACGGATGCTCAACGGGGATTAGGCGTTAGAAGTGGTCGCCGAACCTCGGGGCCTTTGGGCCGAAAATTCTTGTATTGATTTTTGTTATTTTTGTTGATTTCTTTTCTGTTTTTACTTACAAATCGAAACAACAAACTCGTTTGGGACCAACAGTGGTATCATAGTATAGGAGAAATTTTTTTCTGTCGATTTGTGTTACTACTTTTCAGATCTGCTTTATTTTTCGATCTTACGATTTGAGAAATTTTTTTCGTTTTCGAACACGAATTGTTTTTGGGTTGTTGAGACTGTGGATCTTGAAAATCTTTGTTACTAAACTCCATTATTCAGTTGTGACTCGTTTTGATTTGTTGTTTGTACAATGAGTTCTTGTAAATCGGTATAACTCGTACTGAGTTTGGCGAGTTGGGTTGAGTCACATTAAGTCATACCGAGTTTACATTGAGTCACACCGAGTCTGCCATATTCAGTTTACACAAGTCATTTTTTTGCTGTCAAGTACCATAGTACATATAACTGAAAACTTTTAAAGATTTTAGTATCAATGCTTTTCTTTAAAAATTAGAGTTTTTCGAGAATATCTTCTAACTCTACCTTTGTCTAGGGTCCCTGTGAGAACCCTAGAATATGAGAGGATTAGGGTTTCGATTCAAGAAATCAATTCTTTTTCAAAAAATTTTGAAAAACGTTTTTCTTGCAACTGTGTAGATACTAAGATATACCAAAATTCTTTAATCCTGTTTTGACTTCTTGGATATACTGTTGACTTGTACTAACATTCGAATTGATCAGGGGTTGAGATTACTGTTTTTGAAATTGTTCTTCGCTGGAGGTACATTTTTCTAAACCCCCTTCTGCTTACTGTGTGTGAGCATAATTGTATAGTAACTTCAATTCTATTGAGTAATCTGTAGATTATTCTTGCATACTACTACTGCCTTATAAAATTAGATTATCTGACATTGTTGACTGTGA